CACATGCTCGTGTCACTTGAATGTTTGATACAGTGATCTTTTGATAATTGTAAATTGCCTTTTATACGTGCATCGAGTGCATGTTAAATATGATGTGACATTACAGTTATTTCGATAGTAAGCTTCAACCAAGCGTTCCTCATAATTTGACTGCTGGACCTCAAATCTTCTAAATAAAGTGAATAATAGTAATAAAATCAAGGCTCTCTGACTATAAGTGACTGGATCATTTTTTATTCCTTGGAAGAGCTTTTCCGTCATCCTCTGAATTGCGCCTCAAAGTGTTTATAGACTTTAGAAACACTTTGTAGCTGATACTGAATGGACTGACACGAAACTATTAATGCACTCCAGATCTTCGCTTTAAATGACGGGAACAAATAACTATATCACTATTAATTTTCAGCTTTTTGATAGCATGAAACTAGTTTTGCTTTTCATAAAATTATCTTTTATCGTTTCTTTAATGGAAGAAGCATAAATTGAAAATTTCCAGGCTGTGTCCAAAAACTTTCATCTAGACGTTGCTAAAATGCCTTTATAAACAGCGTCATCATGAGCCGTTCTATAACTTCTTTTTTTCATAGTTTCTAGAATATTATGGTAACGGAAATATCCTCCCGACAGCTAATTCAATGCAATTATATTTTGATTGCCAGTTCTTAATTAACTGCGGCATAGACTTGAAGGTCGCAGAATTTGACAGGATGACATGAAGAGTTGTCGTAACTTTGACCGGAGAGCATGAAAATTGCTTTAATTTTCTTTAATGTTACTTCATATGAATTAAAATGAAGCTATGATTCATATTACGAATAGCGCTTTAATGCATTCGTAATTTTATAAGCGCACAGGAAAGCTCATTTGTGCGCACCATTTTCTTTTCTCTAAAATTAAACTTTCATTCATTCCATGAATTTGATTTATGGTAAGCTTGGAAGCCAAAGAGTGATGTGAATACGTTGCCTGTTGAATTTTTTAAACAACTTCGTGGCATATTTAAAAACATTGTGACATATTTCATTAGATTAGATATTAGATGTTTTTGTTGCGCATTATAGAGTAGTTTAGTGTTTAAATAATATATGTGAATTAGAAGGACGTTAATACGCTTTTAAGTACGTGGACATTAGCTTGTCAATTCTGCAACTAGTAAATTTCGAGAAATATTAACGAGAGAATCACGTTTGTGCGCCATTCATTTATAATTATTTCATCAAGAATTTATTTATTTTCAAATTTAATAAGCAAGGTGAAATTTTCCTGATAAAAATTAATCTTTTTAATGGAAACAATTCAAATCAAGGTCTTAAACATTGTATAATTGAATTTGCTGGAACTAGGATCATCAATTTACGAATCTTTTCGCGCGTACAACCTAATAATAACCAAAGATTACTCCCTATTAATCCCTCACGAAGTCCGTTGAACTATTAAAACTTCTCTACATTTGAGTTGAATGGTATACCCTCAATGCACCCATAACTTATCTATGGATTTTTGCTCCTGTGGTTCAAACAATGCAAGCACTTTTTTCGTTGATTATAGCTGGGCTCGTTTTTGTATAACTTGGGCAAGAAGGGTTCGTGATGCCAAATATTATGTTCATTAATATTACGAGGTTCGTAATGCAGCCTCGGGCTCATGGAGGTATGCTTTATTCGTACGTGTGTGCTTTGCGACCGCGATGCTCGAGTATTTTATTCTCTAATGAACCAACAAAAATTAGAAATAAGTTCTCGATGAGAAAAAAACGAGATAGAGACCAGACATTCGAAAATTATCCTGTTCAAACAATTATTATTGTTCAAAATTATTCTGTTCTGTTCAAAACAATCAGGGTTTATGTTCCTCTTGTTTTTATGATTCAATTGTACATTGTTGTTTGTGAACAATATTATACTTACCTTGTGATTTAATTGAATTATATTGCTTTCTTTGATGGTTTTTCAAAAAATTGAATGATTAATTCAAGCTGTTCTGATGAAATTGCCTTCTTTCATTGACTGGCTTGTACCGCTCACCAAACCCACGCACAATATTCACGAGTAACACTTACCATACCATCCAGATTTTATCACAATGAATAACTTTTCAAACTTAGTTCCAAAGCTCAAGATTTTATCGGGCATCTTGTGTGTGAAGCTCCAATCTCATCATCACTTCATTATAAATGATCTCCGACCCAGGGAACTCTTCTCTCTTATGCTGATGATATCAAACTCTTAGACATGCCCGTCAGGTCTTGATAGACATCGATCGCTTCGCCAAACTTTAGAGCTTCTCCGGCCACAAGAGCAGAAGCGTGACTGAGTGGATTTATCAAGATGAAAGTCATGCACAAACATGGATATGATGCTGTGATGTTATGATGAAGCAATCTGTGCTCTTCTCCGTGTTTTACTTATAGTATTACATAGATTTTCTTAAAAAAGCTTCTCAGAGTATAAGGCGAATGGGTACAAAGTTTCCTTGGGTTTATATTGTACTGTGGATGCATTTTTCTGCGGTGACAAATAAATTGTTTTAAATAGATAAAATATAATGTCAAGCAACAATCAAAAAATGATTTAAATTATTTATTATGCCGTGTCTATACCCAATTAAAAATCATTCAATAAATATGAAAACTAGTTTTCCATAAATCTATCAAGAAGTAATTTACCAAACTAGTTATTGAGTTTTCACTGCTCTTATATACTTCCATCATGAAAATTATGTGAAATGCTCAAGCAAATATTTTTCAGCTTTATGCCGTTAAATGAAGGGGTAAAATATTGCTATAATATTCATTTTCTCCTGATTCAGTTATTATGAGCTTTTAATTAGCAATACCTACATGATATACCTGCGGCGAACGTTACTATGGCTGCTTTAAAATGGAAACAACTTTTTAAATCTTATTCTAGTTTGAATTTATTCTTCAATCCATCTGCAATTTTTATTAGCAATACAAGGTTAATTGAATGAAAATTTTGATGTGCTTGGACCTTCAATTCATCTCAGACACTTCGGATTTATTCAGAAATTCACTACAGCTTTGTCACAGATGGATTTCAAGCACTAATTTTGAATCAAAATGAAGAATGACAGTCCCCTTCTTAGAATACCAGTCTCTCTCAGTCCCCTTTGATAAAAAATCATTGTTGAACACGAATATAAGCATTGAATTTTTGTGAATGAAAAACTGTATAACAGGGCAGATACTTGCGTTGACTTTTGACAGTAGTTTTAGTAATAATGGACTGCATCTTCTTCAACTTCCACCCACATATTCAGAAATAGTGCCTAAACTCTACGGAGATCAAAGCCCAAGTTTGATTAATCCTCCGAGATTATAGCCGGGCTCAGAGCACGATTTGTGGTCGATAAGTGCGATCAACGTGACGAATGAGGAAGTTTTTATCAAATGCCTGAGCAACACGTGGACTGAATGGATGAGAAATCATTCCTTCGAGCTTCATTCGGGTCATGTGTTAATTGGGTTTTTTTGAGCAATATTTTAGTTTCAGTTTGTTACCTGAGTAAAATTTTACTTTATTTTAGTTACTTAAGAAAAATATTAGTTTTAGTTTGGTTAATTGAACAAAATTTTTGCTTTAGCTTAGTTAATGGAACAGTATTTTTAGTTTTAGCTTGGTTACTTGAACAAAATTCTAGTTTAAGTTACTTGAACACTATTTTAGTTTTTGTTTAGTTATTGGAATAAATTTTAGTTGTAGTTTAGTAACTGAATCAAAATGTTAGCTTTAGCATAGTTAATAAGACACAATTTTACTTATAGTTTAGTTACTTGTACAAAATTTTAGTTTTACTTCAGTTATTGGAACAAATTTCAGTTTTAGTTCAGTTACTTGAACAAACTTTTAGTTTTATTTTAGTAACGTGAATAAAATTTTAGTTTTAGTTTAGTAACTTGAACAGAATTATGGTTGTAGATTAGAAACTTCAACAAAATTTTAGTTTTAGTTAAGTAACTGGAACATATTTTTAATTTTAGTTCTGTTACTTGAGCAAAATATTAGTTTTAGTTTAGTTACTTAAACCAAATTTAAGTTTTAGTTTAGGTAGTTGAACAAAATTCTAGTAAAATAAAAATGCGCCTTTTTAAATAAACACAGCCAACTTTGCACTAGGAGTTTAAAATTTCCTGCAGTGAAATCAGGAATTAAACACTCCTTTCCTAGTTGCAATTTAAGAATATATCTCTTCGTATATTGAGCTATTTGTGTTAACCCTCTACATAAAGCTTACATCAACGTTTATAATTTCAGACCTTTTTTATTCCATAACTTATTTCACTGTAACGACTTGATACCTTGAAAAATATTTGAAGTTCTAGGTATTTTTATGATAAAATGTGCTGGAGTTTGTAGATGCAGATACCTCCTTACATATTCGTCTTATTTTTGTTATATCATTGACGTATTTGAAAATTGTATATAAAATGTTTAACTAAATTGCAACACCTCGATGAAATAGAAGCAAAATCCCAATGATATATCCACAAGACTTGCCGATCCTACGGATCTGCCTATTGATATTATGCTGGTATGCTGAGATTCTTCTAGCAGTGGCGGTGACGATCCTTGTGATCTGTTTTTTTTTTAATTCAGGAAACGCCGCTAAGATCTTTTTTGTTGAAAATTTAGTCATTATAAAAATATAACTCGAAGTGCATCTTAATAAAGACACGCACCGTTTTATCAGCCTCTTCCTGCCATTAAAAAATGTTTCGCCTGTAACAAAGGAAACAATTGCCTGTTGAACGCCTACCTCGTAAAATTAAGGTAAAATTTCGTTAATGGAAACAGGGATTGAGTCCAGGCCACCTGTTAGAATTCCTAATAACTCACATTTGCACGCAGAACTGATTAAGAAATGCAATAAATACAAATCTGGATCCAACAAATGCTGGTCAATTAAATTAGGATATTCAAATTTTGTTTAATCAGCGTCAATTTTTTATTAATTACAAAAATCAAAACTACAAAATTTCATTTCTGACGATTATTTTGAATGTACAAGTAACATCTAAGACGACGTCGTCACTTAAAGCTCACATCTGGGGTAATTTTTGTCCCAGTTTAACACGCTATAATTGCTATACAATGATGCAAATCACGAACATCTTGGAAGTGGGATATGAATTAACAATTTAACTGAAACTACTGATTATCAAAACCAAATATAATTTATTTATATTAATTTATCAAATTTTACCTGAAAAATTGGCTTATACAATCGAATTATTTTAATGAAATGAGGCAATTGAAACTTTTACAACACACTCTCTGCAGCATTTAGGCTGCGCTTGATATTTACAGATAATATTTACATGACAGGTTGGTAATGGAAAAAGCTTGTAGGACGAAACAAAAATGTTTAGGCATACAAAAAGGTCTGAACGATCTTCCAATCAAGATATTTTATTTAACCTTAAATAACATCAAATTACGAGCATAATCATTGCTTACCCATAACACCAAATCGACTTATTAGAATGAGAAAAAAAAATTTCCGTAAAATAAACGTTTCCCGGTAAACGTTTTACCCGTTAAATGATCAGTGCAGATTTTGACCGCCAAGCTCACAAAGTTTCGAAGGAAATTTGATAAGAATATCGGAGAAATTAAAGCGACTAAATAAAACACATTCATTATCTCGTATAAACGTGATTGTCAATCATCTTATGGCGGCCATTTCCGAAGGACTCTGAAGATGATTATTATTTCGATAGAAAATGAATTCATTTCTTAAAATGGCTTTTCTTACCGGAGAAATTATATTTTTTAAGCCTAGAAGGTTGTGTTTGAAATAATCATATTAGATTTGAAAATTATTTTCAAAATTTTTGCGTATATGCGAAATTAAAGAGAACGAATGATTACCTTGATCTGTTATATATTAGACACACTTAATGAAACTCACGCTCTCTCTATGCTATATCATCTTGACTAGATATGCAACGAAAAGCGCATCTATTTAACGACTTTTTTTCCTGTGGCTCGAAGTAATTATCGTCGTGACGTAGGAGGTAAATGAGAAATAATTCTTTGATGTTTGATTGAGATCTCCTGACATAGCAGCCGTCATGATAAGATCGTCACACGCATGTTCTGTAATCATAAAGCTCTTACCAGGATCTAAATTGTGAGTTCCTTTCCATAGGTCTTGTGATTTTCGATCAGAATTGAAACTCGTAGAATTCCCTTCCTTTGCGACATGTTTGTCGCAGCATGGACGATTTTTTAACAGCAGTTCATTGTCTTTGCGCTTCAAGCTCGGAAGTTTTAAGTTTGCTTGCGTGAGAAAAGCTTTTGTGTTAAAATTCTGCAGTGCAATACAAGCTAAAGGAATACTTATGCCCACAATAATTCGAACTGCGCTAATAAATACCAATTTCAAACCAGCAATAACTGAATCCATTACATCACGATCGCAATATTTGGAAAATTGTTGCCATTCAAGCACATCGAGGACAGGTAGAATATATTTGATGTCTTCGCAATCACGGAAATTGACACGTCTGTTGTACGTCGTCGCGCGGTCACTGAGATCGCTGGCTGTTGTCCGAGTCTCAGTCCGGATAAGAACGTCGTCCGACGATCCAATTTGGTCGCGGTCTTGGAACCTTTGTGGTGTTTTCTTGCAATGGTTTCCTAGATATTCCAGGCTAGCTGCTAAGAATAGGAATGGGTGAGCATGGCCAATAGAACGCAACGTTGCTGATGATGAGCCTGAATGGATCGCTGCAGGGGTCTCGCCACCTGAAAAAAACCGTAGAGAACCTTTGTTATGAGGAACCGACAGACTTTTGTGTTTTCAGGGAGTCCCGTCAAAATATTTACGCTTTAACAATGGGGACACCCGTCACGTGACTCACTTGCAGCCCTGCTGTCACCTTCACAGTCTTCGCAGGAACAACGATAGAGAATGCTAGTTTATTAGCGACTTTAAATATCACCAATTGTTGGCAAATCATTGGCTTACTTTTGCCGTTTCAACAACATCTTAGAATAACAATATGAAATCTATTCGTATTGCAACCTTCCTCATATATGCACACTATGAAATTAAAATTGCGCCCACATAACATTTTCTAGTTCTTTGTTTAGTTGTCAAGCACGAGAACTTATTTACAGATCAAAAATTTCCCGATAAAACAGGATTTCGTTAACATTTTTTACGAAAAAGTAGGCCTTAAAATTTCAGCTTCAAATGATCGTGGAATCAAAATTAATTACAAAAAAACAAAAGCTTAATTTTAAATACATCTAAAAAAATGTGCACCTCACAAAACTCAAATAATATTTATTGTGATTTCATTGCCGCTAATAAAATACATTTATTGTCCAACAGTTTTGAGCCTCAAGAACACGAGCATAAATTAATTTAAAAAATTTGGCGGCCAATCGAAAAATCCTATATTTGGTCCAGACTTTGAAAATAACTCAATTTAAAGATACAAAATGGACACTGAAAAGTCTATATGCGTGATGCATTTAGAAACTTGAACAAACGCTTACAATTAAATTCCGCTCATATTACTTGGACGAATTTTATCATTTACAGTGAAATTGCACTTTATTAAAGGCATAGAAATAATTATGTTACTTGTACACACAAAGTTTATAGAAAAATTTCAAAATCTTGAAAAATACCAGGAAAAAATTACCTTAAAGCAAAATTTAGTCAAGAACATTCAAGTTTCGTCATTCATTATAATGCCGCACCACATTAAATTTTAGCAATCTATAATCGTATGTTCAAAGTATTCAATTTTCAAATCCTATCAAAAGCCTATGTAATTCGCCGTATTAGGAAATAAATAAGAAAATTGTTAACGAGAAGTACTCTTTGGTCCTCATCGATACTTGCATTGAAGAACAGCTTTTGCCCAACAAGACCATTTTCTCCATGCTCTGCCTGACCCCGCAAGTCCACTAACCTCTCAGGACATGCACGAGTATGTGTGAGGACTGAGCGTTCGATGGCACGCAGCTGTAGTTGCCTGTGGACTGTGGACCGACCTCCCCTAGGAATAGCACGCTCACCTCCCCACCAGTGTCAACCTTCACCTGATGGACGGGCACGTCGAAAACAATTACACTATAAATCAATCAGTCTCTAAAGCTTAAATGACTAAATTAAGTAATTGTGAGGGAATAATTGAATTTGTGACAGTATCTTCCGTCAAAAAAAATTAACATTGCTGCACTCGTCAAAGCCGCCTTTTGAATTGCGTATTCCCTTATATGACCTGGTCTGGTTTTCTGTAAACCAGACGCTCTGAAAAATTAAAAAGATCTCACCAAATAATCCTGCTAATATTCGTTGCAATTTTTTATAGTTTAATAAATTCAGAGACCTTTTCACATATTTCTCATGGAATCATTTGTGAAAGGCTTCAAGTGAGTTTTTAATTGCACTCAATGGGATGTACTCATACGCAGTTTTCAGGAGTATTTTTTACCGGAGTATGAAAATATTCAAGATAATCCTTGTGCGCTTCATACCTTGGTATCATTGTTGATCATCCTGTCGTTATGGTACCAGAAGACGTAAGACGTAAAAGACGTAAAAATTTCAAGATAATCCTTGTGCGCTTCATACCTTGGTATCGACTCCCCTAGGAAGAGCACGCTCACTTCCCCTCCAGTGTCAACCTTCACCTGATGGTGAGCACGTCGAAAACAATTACACTATAAATCGAGCAGTTAGTAAAGCTTAAGTAACTAAGTTCATTACTATTGAGGAAATAATTTAATTTAGTGGCAGTATCTTCCGTCAAAAAAATTGAAAATACCGCACTCGTCAATGCAACATATTTTCTCTTATATTACCTGTCATGCATTTTGCTAAAACACTCATTTAATAAATCAGTAAAGTGACAAATTTTGAATCTTTAGGTAAAAGAATTTCCATTCTTTCGCTTCCATCAAATGCTCGCTAACAATAACTTCAATAACAATTAATGCAGTGAAATTAGCGCGCATGGCTTGTCTATAAGGAGTTATCACTTGTTAAGTCATGTCCTTTTGAGTTATTAGCGTCAGTTATTCTTACTTCAGTTATTTCTACTTCATTTAATCCTACTTCAGCTGTTTCTATTTTAGTCACTTGAGTAATGTCTGCAGTCACTTGCTAGAGTCGTTAAAAACTGTCGCTCAATGGCCGACAGTCTATAGTAAAACTCAACTTACTAACTAAATAACATTGCTTTTTCTAAACCAGACGTTCTCACAAATTAAAAAAAGATCTCACCAAATAATCCTGCTGATATTCGTTGCAATTTTTTATAGTTTAATAAATTCAGAGACCTTTTCACATATAATTTCTCATGGAATCATTTGTGAAGGGCTTCAAGTGAGTATGTAATGGCACTCAATGGGATGTACCCATACGCAGTTTTCAGGAGTATTTTTTATTCGTGTATGTTAAATTTCAAGATAATCCTTGTGCCCTTATACCTTGGTATCATAGTTGATCATCCTGTCGTTATGGTACCAGAAGACGTAAGACGTAAAAGACGTAAAAATTTCAAGATAATCCTTATGCACTTCATACCTTGGTATCGTAGTTGATCATCCTGTCGTTATGGTACCAGAAGACGTAAGTTGGAGGCTGCGTATTCTTACGAAGAACGCAAACGAGTCGCAGCGAGCTGCCCATTGTCATGTATTTCTCCGGACCCCCGAGAATTTCAGACGTAGCTTCTGCAAGCACACAAATGCTCTTATNGGTATAGACAATACACTTAAAAATAAACTCACCCACGACATGAAGGGTATAGACAATACACTTAAAAATAAACTCATCCACGACATGAAGGGTATAGACAATGCCCTTAAAAATAAACTAACCCACGACGTGAAAGGTATAGACAATGCCCTTAAAAATAAACTAACCCACGACGTGAAAGGTATAGACAATACACTTAGAAATAAACTCACCCACGACGTGGAGCGTCGACAACAAACTGATGGGAGGATGCGTGGCGATCTGACATTCGTAGACGCCTTCGTCCCTCTTCTGGACGTAGCGGATGTGCAACTGCCAGTCCTGACGTGGCCAAGAAATTCGACGAGTCAAAACATGTTAAGGGCGAGAATTTACGTTCAGGTCGAGTGAGAACATGTTAAGAACGAGAATTTAGGTTAAGGGCGAGCGAGAACATGTTACGGGCGAGAATTTACGTTAAGGGCGAGCGAGAGCATATTAAGGGGAGAATTTTTGTTTACGAATTTACTAAGGATAAGATTACCTCAATTATATTTAAAAATTATGTTCTAAAAACTAGTCACTCTTTTTTCATTTTCATTGTGAAATTTCTTCTACTGAGCATAAAATCTATTCTATCCATCAATTCTGCAATTATTTAAGAATACTACTTATATTGTTAATATTGTTAATCAATTAATTTAAGAATTATTATTAATATAAAGGTTTTATTAATTTAAAGACCAAGAAATTTCTGTTGATATCTAAATTAAACGACCTTCTCGCTCTTGATGTATCTGACACTGAAGCGCTGGTCGCTGCTGTATGCCACAGGGCCCACTGTCAGCAGATGATAGTCCCGACGCCGGACCCAAGATACCTGTAACAACAACGAAATTTTATTCGTTATTGGCATGTAATAATAAAGTTTTAAAATGATCAAGGAATTTTAAGAAACACTCCTGATGTATAATCGACTATACCTGCAATCACGACAGTCAAATTTCATGTGATAATAGATTATAATTTTTTATCTTGAATGTACAAAGAATAATGTACTTAGTTTAGCTGTTTCATGGTTGCACTGCTCACATTATCAATAGGAATTCCGATTTATTTTTAATTTATAATTGTCATAACCGCTTCGCCTCATATATGTCTGAGATTCGTCCGCATTAGTCCGGGAATTGTCCGCGGTTAATTCGAACTTTGCCAGAGATTTATCTGCTACTAATACGAACTTGCCGGTGAGTTGTCTGTGCTAGAAGTACCTCGCTATATTTAGAATGTTAGGCAAAATTATACTCACGGATAAGCAAGTTAACATATATAAGAGTACAAGATTATTTTAAATGCTCAATGCCCGTTGTGTAAAAAGTTCAATGGTAATTTGAAAACAAAGCCATCAACAAAACAAAGAGCCATCTGCGGTCGTAGTATCCGGTGAAATCAGGAACAAAAAATATTTCACGATTTGAAAAGATATAATATTTTCGATGTTATTACAATATAAAGCAGTAATCCTGACACACTCCCGATAGTATTCATTTTAACGAATATTAAGGGATAAATATCATCATCACTAATAATACTTTCAAACTCAGAGGAAAAAGTAATGACTGCTCACCATTGAAACCCGGAAAACTGTCAAATTTCCGTTTTTCAATCAATATTTATTGACAGCTTCCAAAATTAAGTGTCTCGTTATTCTGCCTAAGAAACAACACGAAGCGACACTCGGTGGAGAATCACACTGGGCACCGAAGAAAACATAACCCGTTGAAAAGTCTCAACTTTTCGTTTACAATACGTGAAACTGAAATATTATTACATTATTAAAACTGGTCATTTGATGTGAAGTTTCCTCGACAGTCATTCATTAATTCAAGAATAATTCTTTGACTCTAATGGCTAAAGCAAGTAATTTTCCATAAAAATATCAGAAGCAAAAAAATCCCACAGGCGCATCTTTTTTAGGCAACATGGCGGCGAAGAATGTAGACGCCTTTAACGAGGGTTCTTATCTCAAGATATTCCGCCTCTGAGGCTCACCATGAGCCTCCTTATGGCCGCTGGGGACATTCTTAAGAAAAACTCAGCCCGCACAAGAATGGCTCAGTCTAACGTACGTCTCAAGTGTGGGATTCTAGGGCGACGTTATCACTCAGTAAATTCTGTGGTGTTACTTTTATTCTTAAACAACAAAAGGAAATGAATAATGCCAAAGTTTAATACTTGCATGTAATTCTACCGTGCATTGAGGTTCAATTTAAGAAGCAATATAACACCGCACTTTATTTCACTGCAAAAGCAAACAAAATCCCGAGATATTCTTTTAGCCTTGACCCTTAATTCTAAGCTCATAAATTGAAAGACTATGAAACCTCGAAACACGTATAATTCAATAAAATAAATCTATGACTAAAATAAAATGACAAAGGAGCAAGCATCATCTAAAAGTGCATCAAAAACATTTTTTTACACCGCTTCTTTTTCGGTTTGTTTGACATTCCCAAAAATACCTGACATGAAAGAAATGAACAATTTTCAAGCAATTTCTCTCATGAGCTCCTGTGACGAATGATATTCTGTTTGCTTCCACGGGTGCTGCCTCGAGCGTCTAATAAATCATAAGAAGTTACCGCAATAACTTGGAATTTCCAGTCGACCACACGAACGAATCAGGAGTTCCTTCAGATCTGCACCGGCAGGAAGAACGAAGCTACCTTCCTGTGCAAGTCCAAATCCTGGGGCTTATTCTTCTTCGTCAAGATGTCCCTTTGCATTCTCGTCCATTTTTCCTAAAAGCTTTATCAGACAAAACCTCAAAGGCAACGCACGGCTGTGAAACTTGGTATCTAGTTTCATTTCCACCTTCAGAATCCTCAAATACTTTTACGAGTAAAAGTTACCAATTTTGAGGGAATCGACAGAATTAATTAACATATGCAAATTGCGTGGAAATGGCGTGACCAAAAATGTACCGAAACCGCGATGCAAACGGTGATAGTGAAGGAGGTAATCATGAACATTATGAAATGAATTCACCAAAAAATTCTCTGAGAGCATTTTTATCATAGCAAATTTGCGATTTTCAGATGAAAACTACGAAATTTTGTACAACAGGAATGATTGTTCTTCTTATGAAATTTATTTATTATATGATAATCAATTAATTTTTTTCGAATAATCTTGAAAAAGTTCCACATGCTGTGTCTTTCTAAGATTCATTTCGTAGTTCATCAGATACACTTTGTACTTAATTATATTCATTAATTTTTGTACCTTTAATCACAATTAACTGTAGAAAATAAGTTTTCATTCGAGCGTTGAAACACAGACCTGCATAAATGGGATGTTAACAGGAGCTGTGTAAATCCAACTAACATAGCCTTTCTTGAAGAAAAAATTCATCTTTATCAGGCCTAATTAAACCTATTTTATGCTTGCTATGATTGTATATTCTATCTTAATTACAAAATTACTTTAGAATTTAGTAATTGCCGCTTCCGCGCTCAGAAGATGACGCTTGTTATCTTGAAACCGCGAGTTCTTTATCATTGAAAAGCTATATTTTCTTATGATGAGGAAGCCGTGAGATCATCAATATGATCAAGCTGCAAATTTTTCATTGTCTTAGAGCTACAAACTCCTTATAATAATGAGCCAGAGAGTTTATGAATATAATAAAACAGCTCTTTCTTCATAATCAAAATTCCAAGTCAAGAGTTCTATTTCACCACCTCCGTAACGCTAAATTTTTGCTTCCAAGTAGAGCCAAACATTGCGATTTAAATTTACTTAATTGAAATTTAAGAATACTTTTTTATAGTAGTAATCGTTTAGACGGAAAAAATTCTTCTATGCTTAGCCGCAATTTAAGCAATGTCTCTGAATTGCAGAAAGACATACATCGCATTTAACAAGTACAGATTGGCAGATGAATTTCAAATTGGATAAAATTTTCTGTCCAATTTAAATACAACGCTTCGTCTATGTTATAGTCGGAACAATGCTGCGTAAATACATCCTAACTCGGATGAATAGTGCCGCTAAAAGTGTCACAAAGGGTTACATTGTTGCACTCACGTCTGCGAATACTTGGAAAGTTGAGGTAAAAAGTATGGATAAATGCAAAACCAAGGCGAAAAACTCACCGTACTTTTGAAATAATTGGTGTGTTAAAATAAAAATTGATGATATGCTGTACAACTGCCCTACATTCAATATAACTCTGAAAGCGATGGGTGAGCTAAAATAAAATGATTGATGAAAAGTTAGAAAAAGTGTTCAACACTCGCTGTATTTCTGAAAATCACAGATAAGCTGCAATAGAAAGCTTGAAGAAAAACAATAAAAACTGCGCAATACTCATTTTATTTCTGAAATTGCCACTTGAGTTAAATTAAAATGCTTAAAGAAACGTAATGTAATAAAAAATCCCCAACACTCACTTTAGCTCTAAAAATATAGTTGAGCTAAAATAAAATTATAAAAAAAAAATCTTTAAGAAAAGCAGTAACTGCGCGACACTCACACGCTTTATCTCTGAAAACATAGGTGAGCTAAAATAAAATCCTAAAAAAATCCTGAAATAAAGCAATAACTGAGCGACACTCACGCGCTTTATCTCTGAAAACATGGGTGAGCTAAAATAAAATTTAAAAAAATCCTGAAATAAAGCAATAACTGCGCGACACTCACACGCTTTATCTCTGAAATTTTTGGTTGAGTTAAAATAAAATTCTAAAAAAATCCTGAAATAAATCAATAACTGCATTACTGCGCGACACTCACACGCTTTACTGCAGAAAATATATGTGAGCTAAAATAAAATTTAGAAAAATCCTGAAATAAAGCAATTACTGCGCGACACTCACACGCTTTACTGCAGAAAATATATGTTAGCTAAAATAAAATTCAAAAAAAAATCCTGAAATAAATCAATAACTGCGCGACACTCACTGTGTTCTCGCCGACGTGCTCAGTGGTGCAGTGCAGGACTGCAGTGGTGCCGACCTGTGAGTGCAGTTCCGTGTTGTTCTCTTGCTGGAAGACCGGTGGTGCAGTGACCGTCGTCGAGAACTCGCGAGGACCGCCGAAAATACGTGGCAGTTGCGTCGATATCGGCCGGGGAGCTGCGACGTATAAGGAAAATTTCCGAGAATTTAAATGTAAAGAAAACGTTAAGTAGATTCGCCATATCTTCACTATCTTTATTTTAAATATGATGGGCATCCTTAACGATTTGTTGTCTTTGAATTATTGTTGGTGAACTTACGATTTGCAGACAAATAATGTTAGTACGTTACTTGATGTATTGCTTCCTAATACGGTGAGATGAGTGTGGAAGGCAATCGATGTGAAAACGGACATTGATTTTGAATTAAGTATGGCGAATGAGAGAAATGTAAGTTAATGTAAAAATTTGAAGTGTAATTTATGCATTAAAAGGTAAATTTACGGATTATCAAGGAAAATAATTTGAGATCGATTGAACAAAATAATTTTGGGAAAGCGATAGAAAGCTTGAAGAATAAAAATAATGGTTCCTTATACTATTCGTCATTCTCAAGTGATGCAAACCATTTGAATAACGAGTGTACAAATATTTCAATCGATTAAGTTCAAAATTATTCAACGTTCAAATCGCCTGATCGACCAAACACGCCAGTCTAAGAAATCTTCAAAGTGGAGATTTTAATCTAAATTTTGGACTAAGACCATCCGACTGCAAACCTCAGTACTGAGCACCCACGATTTAGCAACACTCTAGTCGCTCGCTTAGAATAACTGCATTTGGGCCTTTATTCTCCCAAAGAGACTCGCTCAGACGAGCAAACATTTCCAAGTGTTGCGGGGCTACACCAGCGCAATCACTAACACTAACACTTCTGGAACGCTCACGCGATTAACATGGCGGTTATATATAATACGATCTTCCTGTGATATTCATAAGCATTGCATTATTCATTCTGCACAACTACTGGAGGTAGGTTGAGTTCCGGATTAAGTATTATGTAAACATCAAACTGGATAAAGGATAAACACGTTCTCTAAATGCGTATAGATCTCGGTGCGTGAACTCTGGCTTTAGTTTGTTTCGATAAAAGCAGTCTCACTACAGCGATCTACTGCATGACATGTTTTGATCGGAGCCATTGCATTAGTTAAGGCCATTCATAGGCTGAATATATAAACACGCGTCCCCTAAAAATGTGATTGGCTGCAAAAAGTGTAGAACATCAAAATGTGGGTAACATGGAATTGAAAAGAAGTAACCCCTTTGCATTATAACCCTTCTCTGATGACAATTCGAAAGAAAATACACCCATCAAAAATTGTCGACAGATAATAATTCTCACTTTTTTCCGTGGAAAAGGGTATACACCTTTGCCTAATGAATAATTACCCAACTGTACCTCGATATAATTTGTCCAAATAAAAAATTGGACAGATTATAAAATTTCCTTTCTAAATCGAATGATAATTTTGTGAAGAAGCAAGAACACAATCGTAAATCCTCAAAAGTCTGAAATCGAGTTTCCCAACAAAAATTTATGAATTCTTTTAACTGCGATAATTTTAATATTTTTGGACCTATTTCATACCATAAGGCACAGAAAAATTCTAAATTGTTGTAGAAAATGTTCTACACAATTTATGTGGTACCTTAAACACAGCGCATTTCCGTACGATTCCGGAATTACATTACTGATAGAACTACCAGACTAGGCAAAATTTTTTACATTTCCAGGAGTCAATGAGACGGATATTGCAGCTGTAAGTCTAGATGCATTGAATTACTCACACAGCAGCTCCGGGATGCCGTGGGCGCCGACGCAGCAGAGTAGGAGCGTGTGGAGGAAAAGCCGCCGGAACCCCGTGTTGACCACCGGAAATACGGGCAAACAACTGCCCCGACACATCATGTATAGAAGCGTCCCAGACGCAGCTAAGAAATATAGTTCGACTTCAGTGATCTCCAGAATTGTTTTCCTGCTTCAGGAATCTCTAAGTTTTTTTGCATGTGTCTGTCAAAAAGTTTTATTGTAATTTTTCAGCTTCACGAAATATACAAAAATTTTCTGTACCTGGAAAAGTCACTAATAGGTTCATTAATATTTATTTGTCAATTCACGTGCGGTACAATAATTTCCTGTCATCTAAGTTAATTATTAAATCATTTTGATTCACAGATTATTTCCGATCAAATTGCAAACAATGGAAAAGTTTTGAAAAAAGAATTGAATTATAACACCAATTTCATCGTTGGGTTCCACAAATGAGTGATTATTTCGTAAACGACATTTGTGAATAGTTTTTCACTGACAGTATTTTTTCAAATCGATCACTTCTTAGTTTGTAGACGACAGGTTCATTTTCACGATCCCCTCTCTCCGGCCAGCATCACAACAAAGGCTGCACATATTGAACAAGGGATATTTTCAAAATATTAAATTATGCTTCTATAATTTAAATGCTGGTAGTAAAATTTTCATGATTGAAAAACATTAACAGTTGAAATTCTGCTCATATGTTGTAGGATGATCCAAATTTGAAATTTTTCTTCGTGTAGACAAGATATTCTTATAGTCCTTTTTATGTTTCCGGCGCAAGAAATATCTTAACTTTTCGTGTTACATCCAAAAAAATTTAGTGGACTAATTTGGCTTATCGTTGACCATTCGTATTCAAATTTTCCTTTATTCGTTATGATTTTTAACAAGCACGAGGTTAGTCTGGAATGCACTGTCTTTCTATTTATCCTGAAATTCTGTTGGAGAGAATTATTATCATTAGTTTCATGTTTAGATTATAAAAGAGTCTACAAAACATTTTTTAACACTAACGTAAAAACAATGTGGACGTCAATTGACGATTAAAAAATGATTTTCTACTACAATTTTTTTAAGCTCCCGGCACAAGCATGAAAATAATTGCAGAAAATTGTGAGTTATACTTTATTTAATTTTCATGATCCGAACAATAACATTTGGCCTGATAGAGTACTTGTCTAAATTAAATTATTCCAAATGAAAACGCATCAATTAATTCTGTACAATTCAAGCTAATCTTTCCATTCAGATAAGTAGTGAGTTTAATACAAATTTTTCAATATTTAAAGATGTATTTAGCACGATGAAGGTTTTATTATCATCAGTAGTATTTATATTAATGATAACGTGATATGCAATAATAATTAATCTGAACCAAACGTGTGGTAATATTCATTTATTTGCGTGATCACTGTAGAAAAACTATTTTATCTCGCGATTACATAACATTAAGATGGATACATTTTTAGAGTTAACATTACTCCAATTCATTCTTCCTTCACCCATTAAATCTAGAGCAAAAGGCAGTTCTGAAATTTTAAATCAATTCTGCATGAATATTTGTAAATCATGACTGTTCAAGCGATGGAGATTCATCCACTTTATTGAGTATTGAGCCAAGCGTTTGTGCTCAATGTATCTACATAGTGAGAGATGCCTAAGCCATAAGGTAGGATTTACAGCTGTAAACGATCCCATTGTTCGGGTAAGACAACTCGAAGAAGTAAGGCAAGCAATTCAATGGCATCTGTATCGTAACTGCAGCCAATTTGCATTTAATGGCCGCACGATTTAGTTCATCAGTCGGGGTTCTCATTGAGCATTCCAATGCGCGATCAATGAATACCATGTCTGGAAATTTTCAGTAAAATTCTCTCTTTGTAAAATTTACGAATCGTCTGCTGCGATATTCATCAGCCATAACATTCAAACACAGCAAAATCATCCAGTGTTCACACAACACACGTAATTTGTTCAAAAAGTCATTCAAAAGAAGGAATATCCAATTAATGTCGCTATTAATGTTTATTTTAAATCTCTTACTGAAGTCTACGGATTAAACGATAAGCATTTAAGTATCACAATTTTTTTAAGAAAAAACACATCATAGCCTGAAAATTCCAGCGCAATAAACTTTACCACACATTTAAATGATGATACACAAATAACATTATTAGTACAAAACATTGGTTTTTTATTTATAAATCTCACAAAAACATCTTAAAAAACACCATTCTGAGCGAAGTTAAGAAGTTTAATCGCTTTCAAACCTTATCGTCGTCACTACAGGAAATTGATCGCCCGTGAGAGTTAGAGAAGACTCTCAAAGTTGAGGAAGAAATGACACCAAAGTCAGGTTCTCATCATCGTGCCAGGCTCGCCTTGCGTCTTCATCAAGACTATCACGCCGACGATGTGTTTCGTATGCGCGTCTCATATCCCTGAGGATTCTTTCGGCATCACCAGCAATTGTAAGCAAAATATGGATCGGAATAGTAAGCAGGAATGAGGCACACCTAAATCAATGGCTGCCAGAAGGAAAACCCTTCACCGATAAAAGGAAGTCAGCGAAACCTCCGGAATGTGTGCGTTTATAATGTAAATATCGTTTTTCTGCACAGAAATCGTATTTTTTCACAGTAAGCGAACCAAAAGAGACAGAGTAATATTGTAATTTGCATTTAATTGCATGAAAATTCGCTGTGAATTTTGTCAACAAACCAATTTTTTAGTACGAACCATAAATTCGGGATATGACAAAAACAGAGAGAAAATTTTTCTTCCCTTAGAGAGCGTCGCGAAAAGATCATTCCTTTGGTACGTCGTATGTCTCGTAATCAGAGAAATTTTTAATTAACATTTATTAAAAACTCGAAGATTTGTTTAAAAATAACTAAACTGTTTTTTTATTAAAACAACTTTTACCTTCCAGATTCTCCTATTCTTACTATTTTTTTGAATAGTAAATTGTATTATTTTTCTTTGTCCAAGACAACAGAGCAAAAATCACCTCATTTATCGCCTCGTAGCTCCCGTTCTCCCAAGAGGTCGAGAAAACAAACTGTAGCGCTTAAAGCCTCGATCCGCATGGTGTAACCAAGGCTTAAAATTGATCCCCACTAAGCCCACTCCTATCGAACAGTTTCCAAGCATTGCACACGCTGCAGTAAATACCGCAGAACGGTGGCAGGAATCACGCAATTCTCAGAAAAACACCAAGTCCAAATGTAGTTAAATTTCGACAAGGAAACTCGGTCAATTTCGGACAAGATTGTTTGCCGTAAGCAGAATCCAAACCGCATGGACTTTATTGAAAAACTTTTTATCGCTTGCAGCTGATCGCAGGGGAAACTTCGAGAGAGTCTCTTTGTTTCTAAGACTTCGGTGTTGAAGCGAGGCTTTCGTAATGTCTTCATAAAAGTTTCATACCAAGCATGCACTCGGAACTCTTCTCACGAAACTATATGCAATCACCAGAAAAATAAAAACACTTTGCTCCTTTTTATGACTTTATTTTCAAGCTCTAATTCCATTTCACAACTTGATAATCGCAGCTTTCATATCCTTAAAGCAAGATCTCATCTCATTTAAGAAAACCGAATTGAAAAGCATCTAATTTATATAACATGTAACGAAAACAAAGGGCGTAAAAAAGCTGAAGTAATCAAGCCTTTTCAGAAATGAAGCGAAGGCAATGCTTACCGTTTTGCCTCATGTCGAGACTTTAATCTCTGCAGAAGTTGAAGAGGAGGCGCCCACGCGTGCAAAATGAAACTGAAATCCATGAGAGGAGTCATCCGTTCTGAAGCTTTGATATTGTCGGCACAGATGGCAGGAAGGCTCGGTCGCAGCTGGTCCAATGGACGCAAGAGGATGACACAGGTGCTCGTCTTCTAGAATGGTTCATACTGCCATTCTCTAGAGATCGCTTCTGCAGACGTCACTCTCTTGTGTTTCTCTGTCTTGTCGTCATAGGTTACTTCCAGCGCCATTCAAAGGATATTTTTACTCTGCAGTTTATTTTCGAGGTGCCAAATGCAGACAGCTCTTGCGAGGAAGTCATAGCGTCTAACAAAGAGAACAACTGCGCTTGCATTTCTCATGCAAATAAATATTTTCTTACAAGGACGCTGCAGGAAATTGCACGGCCAACACCAAAGACTCAGGCTGCCGGATATTTCATTGGCATTTCTTTTTTCTTCTCCTCACCAGCGCATCCTTGCTAAGCGTTCTCCATCGCGATGTTTTTCTCTATAATTCATTTCGACGGCAGGATAGAGATAGCCGGCTGCTCTCCAATAAGACTAGCATAGCATAAGGCAAGTGAATGTCGCGCCCCAAAATATTGTTCAATAAGGCCACGACAAAAAATGACCATTACGCGCCCTGCTGGAGACTTCTATAATTGGATTCTTTCTGGAGTTGGCTGGTGGTAATTTTCTCCCAAGTATTTATAGTAAGAGGATAAATTGAAGTCACTTTAAAACCTCGTATGGAGGTTATGAAGAGCAAGAAGTTCCCGAAGCATCGTCAGAGGAATTAAAATTTACTTTAGGACGATATTACATTTTTCAAACGAGGGCAAATTCCTCGCAAAGTTTGACCCTGTTTGATGAGTTTGGTCATGTTTGCAATGGTCGACCGTCGTAATTTAATTTTTGTTCATTCATTTAAGAACACAATGAATTGATTGAGATTTTTTAATGGTTAAAAATTCATCAATAGCACTGATTTGAAATATTTTAACGTTGGTTTTTATCACGTAAAATACCTCCACATTGTAGATATTAATATTTTTCCAGAAAATCCATGTTATACAGATTGGTTTCTACGGAAAAAGGAACAGTGATTGCTTAGTTGTAAAGAAATACAAAATTAAATATAATATTTGCAAATTCTAACTTAAATGGATGTACTCTCAAATATTTAAGAGATCGTCTTAAATAAAACAATAATCTTATAGATAATGTTTTAGAAACAATCTTCTAAAAAAATAATCATTTTTGGTCAAAATTTTTAATGTTTTCACGACTCCCGCATGCGATGCTGCCAGATTCAGTACCAATCAATTTACGATAGTACCTTTTCTTTCATTTTAAAGTGAAACTATTTGGCCATGATGCTATTCCTACCCACGAACTAAAAACCCCGGCTTCAAACACCAAAATTATATGAATAATATAATGAGTTGAAAAATAATTTTAATAATTAATTGGTAACAATTTTCAAAAGTTTTTTTTTCAGGCCTCCGGGCTCTTTGCCTTCATCATATATAGTTAGTATTGTATATATTTTATTCGATTACGTTGAAAATTATCAGAAAATTTAACTATACTGAGCCATGATTAAAACTTTCATTGAGAATATTCTTATTGAGCTCATTTCATATGCCGAGGCTAAGTAGTAAACATTTCAATTGATGGTCCCGATATTGAATGGACTTCTGCTTCTCTCGAGCCAGAAGTTTCTGTCAGTACAACATTCAAGTTCCGAGTCTTTCAACTTTACTTTGTGTAAGCTTTGAGCATTAAATACGTTTCAAGTTTAATATTAGGTGGCTAATATTTGAAATCCTTTAAATATTCTGCTGCATATTTAATTCCATTCTGCAACTGGAAGCTCGGTGCAATTTTGACATAAATTATATGATTCAATTTTTCGGTTGTGAGATAACGGTTATGCGCAACGTGTTACAAATGGATAATGGTCCTATTTTGTCGTAATGAACATCCATCTCTTGATAAGGCACGCATTGATAAGTGCGTTAAATTACTTTTATTTTCATATACGTTGAAAGGATTAGGGCGTACCCCACCAACTGCATTGAACGCGTTAATTCTTTATTAATATTTTGAACTGAATACATAATACATGTGCGTTCGGAATACAAATAATACAAATTATTGTCTAAGTCTGCACTTTCATTGTAAAATCCG